GTGTGTGTGTGTGTGTGTGTGTGTGTGTGTGTGTGTGTGTGTGTGTGTTTAGCCGTCTGGCTCGACGCTGGAACCGTTTCTTTAGAATGAAGTGTCTGGTTTATGTGAAAACCAAAAGTTTTTACTGGGTGGTGATGTTCCTCGTCTTCCTCAACACTCTGACCATAGCCACAGAGTTCCACCACCAACCCGTCCGGCTGACCAGCCTGCAGGGTCAGTTATTCGTGTCAATCTTGTCTCTTAGATTTGTTGTGCGTTCTCTTGCTCAAACTTCTTTCTTTTCTTTTGCCCCAACAGATGCGGCCAGCCGAGTGCTGCTGGTGCTGTTTGTCATTGAAATGTTTGTGAAGATGTACGCCCTGGGACCTAGAGCCTATTTCATGTCGCTTTTCAACCGTTTCGACTTCTTCGTGGTTCTCTGTGGGATCCTGGAGATGATCATGTTGTCAGCCGGGGCCGTGGCTCCTCTGGGTTTCTCTGTGCTCAGGTGTATCCGGCTGCTGAGGATCCTCAAAGTCACAAAGTAAGTCTTGTCCCTTCATGTTTGATGTTGCACCAGTCTGAACAGTTCTAGTAAAACTTTTCTTTTTTTTCTTCCCGCAGGTACTGGACCTCCCTGAGTAACCTAGTGGCCTCTCTCCTCAACTCAGTTCGCTCCATTGCCTCGCTGCTCCTCCTCCTCTTCCTCTTCATTGTCATCTTCTCTCTCCTGGGAATGCAGGTGTTTGGGGGCAAATTTAACTTCAACGACCACCGACCCCGTCGCAGTAACTTTGACAACTTCCCTCAGGCCCTGATTAGTGTCTTTCAGGTGATACCTGCTTTCCCTTTGCCCTTAACACTGACTGCTGCTTTATTTCAAACCAAATTCACACCATTAAAATCTGTTTGAAGCACTTTCCACATGTTGTACCCATCAAAATGTATCAATATCTAAATTGTTCTTTTTTCTATTTTTACTTCTGTCAGATCCTCACAGGAGAGGAGTGGACCAGCATCATGTACAATGGCATTATGGCCTACGGAGGGCCTGTCATCCCCGGCATCCTGGTTTCTATCTACTTCATCATCCTGTTTGTCTGTGGAAACTGTATCCTTCACATCGGTCACAAATGGCATATTACTTTACAAGTTGCATGTATAGGGCAATATTGTTTACAGTCCCAAATTGTGTTTTCCTGAGCTCAGAGCAACCAGATATCCTCCTGAATGTCTTCTTGGCCATCGCCGTCGACAACTTGGCAGAGGCCGAGAGTCTGACCTCAGCTCAGAAAGAAAAGGCAGAGGAGAAGATGAGGAAGAAGCTCCTGAGGTAATAATAGTAACACTTTTAATACGAGACGAACAATCTGATCTCTGTCCATGCCTTGAAAYGTTTTGTGTCTTTCCCGTTTCCCTGCACAGGTCCAAAATGCCCGAGAAGACTGACGAAGAGAGGGAGAAGATAGCTAAGAAACTGGCAGAGCAGAGGGCCAAGATAGAGGGCATGCCCACCACAGCCAAGGTGAGTGCCGGGTCTGATTTTAGATTCTGCGTGATGTGGAGCAGACAYATCTTTAAAACACATTTATCTTTTTTTCCCCTCACAGCTCAAAATTGATGAATTTGAATCAAACGTCAATGAAGTGAAAGATCCATTTCCACCTGCTGATTTCCCTGGTAAGACATGTTTAGGTTTGTTGTTTATTGCRTCTTTATCTCAAACATTTTGGTGGCAGCTGTGGTGCGATGGTAGGGCAGTCGAATTGGGACCAGAAAGTCCCAGGTTCAACTTCCCACCGTGCCCACATGTTGTAGTGTCCCTGAGCAAGACACTAATCTTTAGCTGCCCCCCGGCCCTCACAAAGTTGCCAGCTGTTCCACTTGGGTGGATCTCATGTGTGATGGGTCAAACACAGAGTATAATTTTCATTGTATGTGAATGTGCATTGATGACAAGATGCAGCACATTACATTACAACGTTCAACCTGGTTTTCTGCTTGGTAGGTGATGATGAAGAGGAAGAACCTGAAATCCCCATCAGCCCTCGGCCCAGACCAATGGCTGACCTACAGCTGAAGGAAGAAGCAGTTCCTCTGCCAGAAGCCAGTTCCTTCTTTATTTTCGGCCCTCAGAACAAGTAGGAATCTAACCCTCGCACAAATGAAGAACTTCTACGTCTTCGTCTTCTACATGTAAATAATCATTTTCCTGCGTGTCTTCACATTTGTTGATTATTTTGTATCCAGGTTTCGTAAACTGTGTTACAAAATCATCAACGCTTCATCTTTTACCAACCTGATCCTCCTCTTCATCCTGCTCTCCTCCATCTCTCTGGCAGCTGAGGATCCCATCGATCCAAAATCCTACAGAAACCAGGTGACGTTAGGTGTCACACATGTTGGACAGTGTTTGCAACAAGGAAGGCAAAATTCAACAACTGTTTTTCTGCGTCTTCTTCTGTTTTTGTCCAGATCTTGGCCTATGCTGACATCGTCTTCACGACCGTGTTCACCATTGAGATTGTGCTGAAGGTAGATTCAACAAACAACTTGTTTTTCCAATGAATATTACTATTGATTTAAGTAAATGTTATAAATATTACAGTTCTAAAGTCACATATCTGAATGTAAACCCTGATGAAAAATAATCTGACAGCATTTTTTATTATTGGGGTCAACGTTTTTTTCAGTTTTCTACAATTCTACATTTGTTGAGCTAAACATTTTTCTGGTAGCTGTCTTATATATATACACACAGCGGGTAAAATAAATACATTTACAGCGGATAAAATAAGTTTTGAACATTTTTCTCAGTAAATATATTACTAGAGGTGCTAATGACATGACATTTTCACCAGATGTCGGTAACAACCCAAGTGATCCATACATACAAAGAAATCAAACCATAAATGTCCAGAAATGAAGTTATTTGTAATAATGTGGAATGGCACAGGGAAAAAGTATTGAACACATGAAGAAAGGGAGGTGTAAAAAGGCATGGAAAGCCAAGACACCAGCTGAACTCTCTCAGTAATTAGAAAGCAAGCCTGCCCCTTGTCAGTGCAAATTAATATCAGCTGGTTCAGTCCCAAATGATGGCCAGGTATCACACAAGAAACATCTGATGATGGGTAAAAGTAAAGAGCTCTCTCAAGACCTTCACAACCTTATTGTTGCAAAGCATAATGGTGGCATCGGTTACAGAATAATGTCTAAACTTCTGAAGGTTCCAGTGAGCACTGTTGGGGCCATAATTCAGAAGTGGAAAGAACATTATTTCACCATAAACCGACCAYGACCAGGTGCTCCTCRCAAGATTTCTGACAGAGGAGTGAAAAGAATTATCAGAAGAGTTGTCCAAGAGCCAAGGACCACTTGTGGAGAGCTTCAGAAAGACCTGGAATTAGCAGGTACGATTGTTTCAAAGAAAACAATAAGTAATGCACTGAACCACCATGGCCTGTATGCACGCTCATCACTACGCAAGACTCCACTGCTGAAGAAACAGCATGTTGAAGCTCCTTTAAAGTTTGCTGCACAACATTTAGACAAGCCTGTGTAATACTGGGAGAATATAGTCTGGTCAGATGAGACCAACATTGAACTGTTTGGATGCCAGAATACACATCATTTTTGGAGGTCAAATGGCACTGCACATCAGCCCAAAAACACCATACCAACAGTGAAGTTTGGAGGTGGGAACATCATGGYGTGGGGCTGTTTTTCAGCATATGGTACTGGCAAACTTCAAATAATTGAAGGAAGGATGAGTGGAAAAATGTACAGAGACATTCTTGATAAAATCAGCTTCCATCTACCAGGATGATGAAGATGAAACGTGGCTGGACATTTCAGCAAGACAATGAGCCCAAACACAAAGYCAAGGAAACTCTCAGTTGGTTTCAGAGAAAGAAACTAAAGCTGCTGGAATGGCCCAGCCAATCACCTGACCTGAATCCAACAAAAAATCTATGGAAAGAACTAAAGATCAGAGTTCATAGAAGAGGTCCACGAAACCTTCAAGATTTGAAGACTGTTTGTGTGGAAGAATGGGCCAAAATCACACCTGAGCAATGCATGCCACTAGTTTCTCCATACAGGAGGCGTCTTGAAGCTGTCATTGACAACATAGGCTTTTGTACAAAGTATTAGATAAATTTCAGTAAGTGTGTTCAATACTTTTTCCCTGTGCCATTCCACATTATTACAAATAACTTCATTTCTGGACATTTATGGTTTGATTTCTTTGTATGTWTGGATCACTTGGGTTGTTACCAACATCTGGTGTAAATACATGTCATTAGCACCTCTAGTAATATATTTACTGAGAAAAATGGTGACGTGTTCAATACTTATCTTACCCGCTATATATATATATATATATATATAACCAGCACTCCACGTTTTGGCTACATGCCGTCGTCCTGTTTTTTGCCCTTATTAAAATCATGGTATTTTTTGGAGTGCTGGTTATCCCATTTTTTGATTCTTCAGAACCAGGCACCCATTTACTATTTTCCCTTTTTTATAAGGACATTTTAGTTGTGCGCAATAAAAAAATTTCTTTGGATAAATTTTTGTCATTAGTTGTTGGAGTCAACCTTGTTTGTTTGTTTGTTTGTTTGTTTGTTTGTTTGTTTGTTTGTTTGTTTTTTAGCAAAATATCTCATGAACCACTGGACAGCTTATGAACCCCCTAGAAAGCAATCACTGGAAGTACATTTACCACTGATCATTTTTTCTTAGGGTTAGATTTTGTGCTATGACATGATGGCGTACAAGTACAAAGTACTAACAGATTGTTCAAGATTTTTTGTTTTGAAACTGATATTTGCTTAAATTTTATAAGATATAATAGTCACAAATTATTTGATTTAAGGAAGTGCAATCAGGGACAGTTAAAAAAAACCTTAAAAGTAAGGAGATTATCCAGATATTGGGTAATCCATTTTCTGTTATTGATCAATCTTTAAGGATAAACACCCGCCCTCCTGCTTCTGTATTGCTCTGAAACGCTGCTGTTTGTTCCTGACAGATGACCGTGTACGGGGCATTCATGCACAAAGGCTCCTTCTGTCGGAACTCTTTCAACATCCTGGATCTGATCGTGGTCGGCGTGTCGCTGCTGTCCATGGGAATGGAGTGAGTTCACATTTAACAGTGACAGAATTACTTACAGAATGTCACAGTTGCTGTTCTCATCAAATGACAGCTTTTGATTTCTGAGACATGCTCTTTGTTGTGCGATGCTTGCAGATCCAGCGCCATCTCTGTCGTGAAGATTCTCAGGGTGCTGAGGGTGCTGAGGCCTCTCAGAGCCATCAACAGAGCCAAAGGGCTAAAGGTACGGCAACATGCTTCTGGTGTTCATTGTTTCGATCAATAGTTTAACGAAATACAATCCAAACAACAAGGGCGAAAACTTTTTTCTTCAGGCAGTAAAAAAAATAAAAGCCTTTAAGTAAATAAAGCAAATGTAAAATTAGCAACAGGAGTTAAAATCCTCACTGAAGAAAAATGGTATTAAGTTTATGTTATGATCATATTTGTGTATTTATGTCATGTCTTCTTTACTGTTGGTGCTTATGTTTTCGTTGCAAAGGTCTGAATTGGAATTATTTTTTGCTGTTGTCTGTTATGTGTTGACACTTCACTAGTTTATACTTTGAGTTTAGGAGCCTGTTTATACCTTAAATAAATGAGACAAAAACTATTTCTCTAAAAATGATCAGATATTGGACTATAAACAAATAAAATAAATCAACCAAAGTCCAAGGAAAAATGTTGAAAACTAAAAAGAATCAGATTTATTGATTGAAACATCAACAGCAAAATCAAAATAAATAACTTTTGGGTTATGTGTTATTAACATAAATATATAGTAGTWCATATTTTTCTGCTTTAGAATGTATTTAAACTAAATATACTGGTGGGTTTTAGCTGAAAGAAATATGTTGCGTAGTTGACTTTGTTGTGGTAAAAATCAGAGTGATGCCCAACATGTTTATTTTGTGTATTTCTTATTGAGCATATCATATGGAGGCATTTTTACCACTGGTGTTTGATACTAAAAATGACAGCAGAATAATAGAGTAATATTTCTACATGAACAAACGATCACAATRCTTATATGATTGTCAAAACAACAGCACCAGCCCTAGTCACCGGACCGATTTAAGCCAGAAACCTTGCAGACAGTTGTCGCAGTGAGGGGACAACCTGACCTCAGCTTTAGCTGTGTTACAGAATGTTGTAAAGACTCGTCATCAGGTCTTTTTTTCCATGATGTCTCTCCAAAGTGTTACATAACAAAAGCATTAAACAGCAAACAGTGAAAGTCCTTCAGCTTGTATTCAGATGTGACAAACAGGTATAATATATTTAACTTGTATCTGTTTTCACTGTGTAATGTATATTTCTTATCTGTGTTGTTACAGCATGTGGTCCAGTGTGTGTTCGTGGCCATCAAAACAATTGGCAACATTGTCCTGGTTACCATGCTGCTGAACTTCATGTTTGCCTGCATTGGAGTGCAACTATTTAAGGTAGTTTTATTATTGTTACTTAGTAAGACAYTGTAAAGTTAATTTTTCTAAAGTGAAAGGCTTTAGGCTGTTTGAAAGGCTGTTTGAATATTAAATTAGTCTCTAATCATCCCTTCCCTCCCAGGGTAAATTCTACAGCTGCACAGATCCGACCAAAATTACTGCAGAGGAATGCCAGTAAGGCAAAACACTCTTCACATCTCTGGGATCTCATCTCTTAGAACTGAAACACTATTTTAGAGTCACCACTCACTCTGCATGCTTTCAGGGGATCCTTCCTGAAGCACATTGAGAGCTCRCTGCAGGACACAGTGGTGGCTAAAAGAGAATGGCTCAACAGTGACTTCAACTTTGACAACGTGCTCAATGGGATGCTGGCTCTGTTCACTGTTTCCACATTTGAAGGCTGGCCCAAGTAAACTCAAACTACATTAAAGATATTTCTTTTTTCTGCTTGAGCTGGAACTCATTTATTGAGTGGAGTCTAACATGTGTCTCTGATGGATTTTTAGACTCTTATACAGAGCCATAGATTCAGCAGAAGAAGATCTGGGTCCCGTCTACAACAACCGTGTCGATGTGTCCATCTTCTTCATTATCTACATCATCCTCATCGCTTTCTTCATGATGAACATCTTTGTGGGTTTTGTCATCGTCACCTTTCAGGAGCAGGGCGAGCAGGAGTATAAGAACTGCGAGCTGGACAAGAACCAGGTAGGATGAAGCGTCAGCGATTCCTGTTTTTGTTTTTTAGAATTATGTCATTTTTTTTCTTTTTCAACACACTTCCTGTCCGTCTTGCCTCTCCTCAGCGTCAGTGTGTGCAGTACGCTCTGAAGGCTCGCCCCCTGAGATGCTACATTCCTAAAAACCCGTACCAGTACAGGGTCTGGTACATCGTCACCTCCTGTTACTTTGAGTACCTGATGTTCTTTCTGATTATGCTGAACACCTTGTGTCTGGGGATGCAGGTATGTAAATGATGTTCAGACTGCAACCTAAAATCACATTGATTGACCTCTGATTGATCAGCGAAGGTCAGCATTTATCTGACCACTTATCAAATGACAACTTGAAATTTTGAAACAATAATGAAAATGCTCAGCCGTATCTTTAGCGCTATCTCGATGTGTTATTTTTATTGTATCATGGATTGTTTTTACATTTACTCAACATATCACCATCAAACCTACAGATTTTTTTATGTGAAGTCGTTTTTTCCACTCTGAACAGCACTGCAACCAGTCAGATCACGTTACCAAGCTGTCCGACATGCTGAACTTGATCTTCACTGTGCTCTTCACGGTGGAGATGATCCTGAAGCTCATGGCCTTTAAAGTTAGGGTAAATACTCTACTGTTCTTTCTCCCCAGAGGCACACCTTAAACCTATATTTCTGTATGAGTCAGTGTAATTTATCTCCTCATCCAGGGCTACTTTGGGGACCCCTGGAATGTCTTTGACTTCATCATCGTCATTGGTAGCGTCGTTGATGTCATTTTAAGTGAAGTTGATGTGAGTATATACTTCGTAAAGAACCCCAAGTTTCAGATTCTCATTGCAGGTTCATCTAAGTGAGGCATTCTTGGAACAAGAGAATATTTATCCAGTAATCTGGCGCAGAGGTATAGATATGGTGTCYGGAAAACTAGTTCACAGGATGGGGTCAGTAATGTGGTACCACCTCCCTCCTCCACTCCCCCCAACGCCCACTGTTCCACTTCTCTTAATGTCACTGTTTTTAATGATTTGACATCTCATACAAGTTGTGTGAGCACTTAAAAGAGCACAATGTCAGCTGAAGGTTTAGTGTTATTTTATGTCAGCCACATCCTCTGTCATTGTTTTCGTCCTCGTTTCATCCACAAACACAAGCATTTTTTCTCCAATTCTTCATCTTTTTTTTCCTTCACATCCCCATCCATCCCTCTGTCCTCCACGAGTCTCACTCRTCATCTGTCTATCCTCCACAGACTGCGCTGGAATCCAGTGGAGGGCTGTACTGTCTCCATGGCTGTGCTGTAAATATCTGCACCGCTGCATGAGTCTTGCCGTGTGAGCACATACTAAACCGCGACCCGTTCACTTTCAAATGAATGGCTCAAAACGCTCATAAAACAGTGATTCTTCTACTGTCTGATGCCTCTGACAGAGYAATGGAAAACAAGCCTTAGTATGTATTTAAAGTTATTGGCTTGACTGACGAAAAATTTGTAATATTTTGGCAAATTGTGTGCCTTTTTTTTTTTAAAATTTGCATGACTTCGTTTTTTTTTAGCACATCAGACTTATAGTTTTCTTTTACTCATGTGTCTGATGTGAACCTTTTTTTGAAACCTTGTTGAAAGACAGTGTTTAGTGTTCTGTTTAAGTGTATTAAACAGAAATAATACATATCCATCTTTGTGCAGGAGACAAATCCTATGCAAGAAATTGCGGTAAGTCAAGATTCTCTCCACTTTTAAAAAAAATAGGATTTTGTCTTTTTGCTTCTTTTAAGCAACTTTTTCTTTTTSTTTGTTCACAGGCTTCTGAAAATGCTTCAGTGTCCATCACCTTCTTCCGACTTTTCCGTGTGATGCGTCTGGTCAAACTGCTGAATCGATCAGAGGGCATCCGTAACCTRCTGTGGACCTTCATCAAGTCCTTCCAGGTTTTCATAATTATCACCGCTTTGTTTTTGTCTTTGTTTTCCCATTGTGCATTGTGTTTCTGATCAATTCGTTTTCTCTCTGCAGGCTCTCCCTCATGTAGCTCTGCTCATAGTGATGCTCTTCTTCATCTATGCTGTCATCGGGATGCAGGTACAGTCGACCATAATAATTCTGCAAACAACAAAACTTTAAATCTCCATAGGCTTGTTATGTGTCTGCTTAATGTCACCAAGACGAGCTGATCTGTCCATTATGATGAAAAAAAAATGGATTTGGATTGTTTCAACCCTCAGATCTTTGGAAAGGTAGCTTTAGTAGACGGCACCCAAATCAATCGCAACAACAACTTCCAGACATTCCCTCAGGCTGTTCTGATGTTATTCCGGTGAGTTTCACAGCATAAATTTCACATATTCACATATAAATTTCTTTTATTTCCGTTACTTACGGTGTGTTTATGTGTTCAGATGTGCCACTGGAGAGGCTTGGCAAGAGGTCATGATGGCATCAATGTATGGGAAGAAGTGTGACCCAAAGTCTGACTTCCTGCCGGGAGAGGAGTACACCTGCGGGTCCAACTTTGCTGTTTTCTACTTCCTCAGTTTCTACTGTCTATGTGCCTTCCTGGTTAGAAGCAGTTGTCTTTAGTTTTGCCCGCTTCAAGAATCTTCAATAATATTAAGGTTTTTTTTCTAACTTATTCCAGATCTTGAACCTGTTTGTCGCAGTCATCATGGACAACTTTGACTACCTGACCCGTGATTGGTCTCTTCTTGGTCCGCACCATCTGGATGAGTTTAAGAAAATCTGGGCTGAGTATGACCCAGAAGCCACGTGAGTACCAACACTCCATTTCTCCATTTCTCAGAAAAACAGRGGTTTAAAATAAGTGTCTCTCTAATGTACAGGGGGAGAATCAAACATCTGGACGTYGTGACGCTGCTACGAAGTATCCAGCCCCCGTTGGGCTTTGGCAAGTTCTGTCCACATCGCGCTGCGTGCAAGGTAAACTGAGATCATCTGTATAAATTCACATTTGTGACAATTTTTTTACAGAAGCAGAAAGAGAGAGTATTTTTGTTTGTTCTGTCCATAGAGGTTGGTTGGTATGAACATGCCTCTCAACAGCGATGGTACCGTCACTTTTAACGCCACCCTGTTCGCACTGGTCAGGACTGCGCTTAAAATCAAAACAGAAGGTACAACACGCTAAAGCCTGACACTAAACACAGTTCCTTCACTGTCACCTCTTGCAATTCAGTAAAACCTGGAAATGATTCATACAGGAAACTTTGAGCAGGCCAACGAGGAGCTAAGGGCCATCATAAAGCAAATCTGGAAACGCACCAGTATGAAACTGTTGGACCAGGTCATCCCCCCTATAGGAGGCGAGTCTGTCAGCACAAACAGCAGAAGTTTTTCCTTCACAGGATATTCTACAATTTCTGATGAAGATAACCCTGACTTACAGATGACGAGGTTACCGTGGGGAAGTTCTATGCCACGTTTTTGCTCCAAGATCATTTCCGTAAGTTCATGAAGCGACAGGAGGAGTATTATGGTTACCGTCCAACTAAGAAGAGCGCCTCAGGACCAGAAATCCAGGTGAACTTCACATTTGACTGGGATTGTGTTGGTTGGCATTTGTACTTTTGTCTTCTTCCTGTCCCTATGAACACACTGTGTTTTAGCTCTTCATTTCCCCATTTCCTGTTTATTTTAGGCAGGTTTGAGGAGCATCGAAGAAGAAGCTGCTCCAGAGATGCACAGGGCAATTTCAGGAGACCTGCAAAACGATGAAGAAATGGACCGAGCGATGGAAGAGGCTGGAGAAGAAGCCATTTACCATGTAGGAAACAMATTTCTTTATAGACACTCTGTCGTGTGAGACTCATAGTTGCCAGTTGAACTGAACACATTTTATCTTAGCGGGTAGTGGGGGGTTGCCATTTAACAAAGATTTCAACTACGGKCTTTTTAAAGTCAGTAATTCTATAGTAATTATGTGAATTTCCCTGCTTGTCTCGCRTGGTGTTTCCAGCGTTCACATGACCTGTTCGGTAACCGAGTCAACTCCTTCAACTCCTCGGAGCCCGCCAATGCTGCCCAGGTGACCAACCAGCGGCCTCTCCAGTTTTCCGAGAGCCAGTCCGAGTCTCCGCCAAACTCCTCCACTTTGGTGCCCAGTGCAGACGATTTCCCCACARCTGCACCAAAGAGCAACACAAACAACAACGCCTTCGCAGAGTGAGTTCCAACACGCCCTCACAATTGATCATCTGAGCTGAGGTTATGGCCTCATCACGATTTTTTCTTTTTGGTCAGATTTTCTTTTGAAAGAGAAGGAAGTCCAGAAGAATTCTACAATCCTTACGAGGATGACGAGCCAGGTATGGTTTACTGTTTAAGACCAGTAAAGTCAGAACGTTTGAGTCACACTTTGTTTTATATTTATTTTGTTAGAATAAAATCTGTCAAAGAACCCCCTTTAATTGTTCATATCTTTAGACATCAAACACTCCTGGAACTTCACTGTAAGAACAGATGAGACACAGGTAAGTATAATGCACTCATCTGGTGTAGATGACGGTGAACAAAGTACTTTTTGAATAAACATGTTTTTGTTTTGTTTTTTTGCAGTTTCCTTATGAACCTAACTATGGGGATGGTCAGAGATCTCAGTCCGCAGCCGACCGGCTCGTCCAGGAGGTCAGTGAAGAAGTTATAACCAAGTTTTATACCAAASAAGGGAAACGATTGGGATATTTCAAAACCTGCTAAGAATGTTTTTTTTTCTACTTTTTTTGTGGTCTGGGACTTTATGTAACATTTTGTTGCTTTTCTTCAGGCTCTTGAAAGTGGAGGTCTCGTCTCTTTGGCCAAAGACCCTGACTTTGTCTCTGTAACTAAGGAGGAAATGTCTGTAGCCATGCGCATTCCTGTATCTGAAATGGAGGGGATGGCTARGGGCATCCTCAGCGAACGCTCCGGCAGCATCCCCTCTGCTAAAAAGAGACGTCCTGTCCCYGTACCTCCATCTGCCCCCACTATGGTGAGACAAAAAGCGAGCCAGCCAGAACCRGCCGTTAGGAAAAAGAGACGTCCAGTTCCTACGACCCCTACCCAGAAGAAACCGTACTCCGAAGTTTAAAAGATGCTTCCTGAGTTTAAAGTGGATTTTTACTCTTCAAAGTGGCTTYCCCTCATGTGGCATCACTGTACTTRTTGACTCTTTGACAATTTGTCTGTTAGCGTGACTGAAGGTCAAAAAAACAGGTTGGAGCAAGTCAAAGAAAATTGTCAAGAGTGGTTGAAGCTTAACCAAGGAGAAACAAAATATCTGATAGGACACCTTTCAGATTGATTGGACTAATAAAAACACAAACCTATGGCTAAGTAAACTGATTGACGTACTTCTTTCTTTGTAGCATTTATTGAGGAGATCCATTCCACTTAGGGGACAGCTGTGAGCGAAGTGYCTTACTCTAGGCTCACTGAAGGAGGCAGGACAGTAACCTGTGTCTACAAAAAAGATTAACAGGTTTTATTGAACTGCATTTTACCAGGTGATGGGAAAGGACTTCACTTTGTGGAAACAAGTTGCTTTGCATCCAGGCCCTAAAGTCTGACAGCACTTAAAAGGGAATCTGGAGCTTAGGCAGTAAAGTAAAAGGATGTTTTGACATTTAATTGATACTAAGGTTTTTACCTTTTCTCCTGTTCAAACAGTTGTTTTTGCAGTTGAAAGTAAGAGATTATTTTTCTTTTTTGTAAATAGACGTATATTTAATCCATAACATATACAGATCTAGCCATAATAAATTATTTGCTCAGTTTCAAGAAATTGAGTAAACATACTGTTCTGTACTTTAGRGTTTTTCTTTATATTGTTTAATCTCTGAGAGCAGTTTAGGACGCAGGAACCTGAAGCATACCTGGAGTATGCTTGATTTAGCTTAAAAGCTCCCTAAGGTTCATCATATTCATATTTGTGGACATCATTTTGCACTTGATTCATGTTTTGCTCAAAAATTTTGGAAACAGTCTTCCAGAGGACTGCTTTTATTTTCTTTTTTTTTTTTTACATTTGTCCTCTGATCTGTCTACATTTAAAGGTTTGAAAGACATTGCTAGTTTTAGTGCATCTCCCACCTTCACTCTTATTTCTGAATCTGTACCAGTAAGGYTGATGTTACTTTACTGCACTGTCAAAGACAATAAATAATCCAAATAAATTATGTCTCTAATACCTTTTTTTTCCTAAATACAAATGTCAGACCTTGTTAAACTGATGACAGACACGCTAAAATGAAAKCACAAAGAAATGAAGGCTGCTGCTCCTGCAAACGTTGGTGTGAAAACTGTGACTATAAATAGAGACCAGAGTGAGACTTCTTATGGAGTGAAATCTAAGTCAAGCAAGTGYGCACTTGAAGGGTAAAAACCATTTAAACCTGGACAACATTAAAAAAGTACAAATAAAAGGAGCGGAAATAAATTGTATTACTGGTATATTTATTCAGGCAAAGCAAGCAAAACAAACTAGGCAAAATCATTTCATGTTGGATTCTTCTGTTTCAGAGCTGCAACTCTGTTTTCATACGACTGTCATTCTCTTTGAAGTAATTTTGTTTGGGCATTTCGCACCAAGCTTTAGAATCTCATTACAGCTCTGCCAGTTGCAGCTAATTATGATTTTATTTAGTTATCACACTAGGGAATGTATCCAACACACTGGAACAAAGTTTGCTTTGAGCTTTAAAAAAAGTAGCATTTTAAGTACACACAACAAAAGGAGCTGAAAGCACACAAATGAAATGAGAGAAACAATAGAAAAAGTCTTAAACTTGCATTCCTTTGTTGTCGAACATTTTCCACTTGATACAAATCCTACAGTATGTTAAAAAAAGGGTTGGATTTTAATGATCACGCCATTCAGATTCATTTTAATTCATTCTAATGCATTAATGTGACCAATAATTGTTTAAATGTTCATATGACTTACTAAAAAAAAACGTCCCTAATTTACTGATGTATAATGTCCAAGAAAAACATGATAAAAACACAACAAATAAGTAAAAAAAAAAAAACATAGGAGGTTCTAATGAATAATCTGTGACTACAGAGTAAATGAAACATACAACTTGCCCAAATGCAGGTGAGAGCACTAGTATTAATCATTTGTGCTTGAGCTGGCATCTGGATACTGTGAGAGGTCAAAGGTGAGAACTTTGCTGATGACACAATCTCCTTGCTGTGAATGAAAACAACAAAGGTTGTTAAAAGCTAGACACTGTGATCATTATATTTTGCTACAGTCTGAAGAATGTCCAAGGTTTCTTCTGTGCCAAGACCCACCAACTTGCTAAAAAAAAAAACTTCACCTGTGACCTGTCTAAATAAATCTAGACAAGYTAATTTCTGTTATTTTACATTTTATTTGAGGCAGAGTTATTATGCAAAATGCTTTTGTAATCACAGGTATTTTTTAAAGTAACTTTTCTAATGTTGATGCTTTCTTAAGACAAATGTTTTAAAGTTACCAAAAAGGGAAACCCACCTCTGGATAAACACCGATGAGTGAGTCTGCCTTGGTGTAGAACTCCTCCTTCAGAGAAATGACGACGGCCTGGAAGTTCTGCATGGACTGGTCCTTGATGTAATTGGCCACCTTAAAAGGGACAAAGGAAAAGGAAAGTTGAAGGGCAAGAATGAAAAGCTACTGTGAACAAGTCACGTGCTCTCCAAAATTAAGCTACTGAATAAAAACGAAGAACAGACCTTGCCGATGTTAGTATTGTCCAGAGCGGCATCAATCTCATCCAGAACAAAGAAGGGGGCCGGTTTGTAGCTATAAAGATGCAGAACAGATGTTAAAGACAAAGAAAAAGAATGCAGAAATTGTCATTACCCTATTAAGTTAGCCAAACATGCATTTACCTGTGAATAGCAAAGAGCAGAGCCAGGGCAGCAACCGTCTTCTCTCCTCCTGACAGGTTATCCATCGGTCTGAACCTCTTCCCTGGAGCTACACAGTTATAGTTGATACCATCTAGATATGGTTCTTCTGGGTTTTCTGGGCCTAGAAAAGCCTTGAAAAGAAAAAAAGAGTGAAAATATTAGCACAACTGGCAGAGAAAAAAATAACAGGGCAAATACTGTCCCATTTTTCTTGATGAAAAAAGGCACAAAAGCTGCTCTGAACAGATTTTCCAACTCCAGGCGTCACTTTAATTACTTTTCATGAGTTTGCTGAACCGTAGTACCATAAATAAAGAAATGATACTAATAAAAGTAGTCTAAATATGTTTTTTTACAATTCATCCATCTATCCCTTAGCATGCTGAAGATACACGAAACAGTAATTTAGCATCACAGATATTGTATATTTTCACTCATAAACAGACAGATGGTGATGTTTGTGATTTTTTATTGCAGAATTGTTGTGTTGCAGTAACAGTATCGTGAGCCAAGAATTATGCACAGTATCTTATAGTGAGGCGATACTCCCACCACCATCCAGTCTATAAACAAGTCAGGGGCTACTGAATGATAACTTTTTTTAATAACGATAATTTTTTTTTATTCTGCAATTACAAATGACATCAGAGTTAAAACCTACCTGAGCACTGCTGTTGCGTGAGAGCGCCTTGTAGATCTCATCRATGTTTGTGGCCACAGACTCAAAACAGGTATTAAAACGATCAAAGCGCTCCTTTTTGATTTGCTCAAAGGCTTGCTTGGCCTTTTTGGCTCTCTTACGGGCAGCCTCGAACTCTGAGGAAGACAAATAAAACCATCAGGTAACACTGGAAGCTTCAGAAATGATACTGTTACCACCTCTTCTCCTGATTATTTAACCCTGCTACAACTCTCTCACCATCACTGGTCTCCTGGAACTTGTCCCGGACACTCTCCAGTTTTTCCATGGCTTTCATGTTGGGTGCACTGATCCTCTGCAGGATACTCTGCTGTTCATTCAGACGCTGCTGCAGCGTGTTCGTCTCTGCCTTTATCTCTTCCTCTGACAATGCATCCTTTAGGAAATTTGGAAAAAGTAATTTCTTTATATTTGTCATGGCTCGTACTTTAGTGAGATCTCTATACCACAGCAGAAGAAACTGATTTATTATTAACATCATGACACTTAGAAATGTAAAAACCTCGTTGCTCCAGAATAAACTGAGGGGTAGGTGTCATGCTTGAGTGCTGATTGGACTTCATACCTTCAAGTCTTCAGATAAGATGCTGTAGTCGATCTCTATTAGMGCTTCTTTAGCCAGAACACTGCTGGATGTCCTCTGGCTGCTGGACTCATCTGTCTGGGAGCTCCCCTAAAGCAGCCGAACAGAAAGGAGCTGTTTTCTGTTTGATTCTCATTAGGACAAATGTTACGTCATGACTATTTATTTACCTCTCCTTGGCTGATGTCATCCATTGTTCCAGAGCGAAGCGGCAACCTGATATCCTGCATTTTGCAGGCCTGCAGCAGATTGTGACGGTCGCTACGCTTCTGCTCCAGTTTGGTCTCAATGGCAGTCACCTCCTTCTGGAGCTGAGTCAACTCTCTTAAATAAAAACATTCAGAAATGAATTAGAAATTACACGTAAAAAATATAACCTAGACTGCAGAAATGTTCAATTTAATTTATGTTTTGATAGCCACTGACTTGTTGGCGCCTCCAAGTTTTTTACGGATCTCCTCCATTTCATGATTTTTATCATTAACCTCGGATTTCTTAGTGAGGTGCTGGTTCTTCAGGTCCTGTAGCTGGGCCATCGTCTCATCAATGATTTTCATGTGTCTGTGCTCCTCCTACGTAAAAACATACAGAAAATTTACCTTCAGATATCAAAAGACAAATAATACGTACATATTTAGTCTACACTTAGTTTTTTTTTTTTGTACCTTCTTTAGTCGTTCTATTTCAGCTTCATCTTTTTTAACAGTTTGCTCCCACATCATGACCTTCTCCTGATCCTCTTTCAGTTGGTTCTTCTCATAGTCCACCTGGATTCCCAGGCGGGTCTTCTGGGTCTCAAACTCAAGACTGGAGTTAAATAAGATCATGTTATACAACGGTTTAAAAAAATAAATAAATAAAGTTTCACTTCCAGAGAAAAGATCTGAGTTATAAACTGACCGTTTCTTAGCAATCTCGTTCTGCCTCTTCACTTTCTCCTCCTCAAATTCTCGGATGTTCCTCACTCCAATCTCCTTACAGAATTCCACAAACACCTCATCCTCCACCTACACAACAAAAACAACAAATGTTACCGCAGAGCCACATGTTTCTTAGCTGGGATTCTAAATAAGCCACACTTTACTTCAGGCTCACCAGGTTCATGCGGTCCCGGAGGTCAGTGATTTCTCGTTCGCGGGACTGAATGATCCGTTTGATGTCATTGATGCGAGGGCCAAAATTTGCAAGTTCGCTCTCCAGTTTGGACTTTTCCTATAGAACACAAATAAAAACATTTCAAGCGGCCATTTTTACTWAACACCAAAGGAAAATGAAACCAAAAGCATCAGGCTGTACCTGCATGTTGAGGGACAGGTGTCTGGTTTTCGTCTGCTCCAGATCACTCTGAGAGTACTTCAGTCTCATCTGCAGACCATGTGCCTGAGATTGCACCTGACGTAGTTCTGCCTCCTTCCTCTTGGCCTTCATTTGCTCCTAAAAAAACAAGGGGAGGAATTTGATGAGTTTATGTCATTTGATAAATTCAACTATAGTCAGTGTAGAGAAACAAGATTCTTTTTACACTTTGAAACAGACTGCTTCACCCAGTCTCTCTGGCTCAGATAGGATCAAACATAAAATCTTATTTGATAAAAAAAAGTCACCTTCAGCTCATCTGTAAGTTTTTCCTTTTTCTCTTTCAGTTTGTCCACTGCTTTTTCATCCCAACGTCTCGCCTTGGCTTTCAGATCACTGGCTCCTCCAGAGATGACACCAGACTTCTGGAACAAAGTCCCATCCAAGGCCACCGTCTGAACACAGAGGGACAATGAAAAATGAGCAAAAAAAAAAAAACAATCTTGACACATTCAGGATCTTAGGACTGACACGCTACATTTCAATCCTCTCCTCCCAAACCAAGTTMAGTACCTTGTGTCTGTAAGGTCCTCCAAAAGCAATCCTTCGTGCATCCTCAACATTCTCACAAACCAGAGCGTTGCCACAAGCGTACTGTAGGGCTTTCTTGATGTGAGGCGGCTCATAGCGGATAA